AAAAAAAAAAAAAAATCAAGTTTCTGTGGAACTCGCCCGGGGCGGCCTGCCAGGCTCTTCCAACTCTTTTAAGTTTCGGTAAATTTTTTTTAAGTTTTCCAAAAATTTTAAAAATTTCATAATTTTAAGTTTTTGGACCAAGGTACGTGTTTCAAACACTTTTAAGGTATTTACATTCCGTATTTTGCCATCTTTAATATTATTTGTTCGTTGCGCGCATTCGAGGGAAAAAGGTACGTGTACCCTCAACACCTCGAATCTCACGTAAGAGGTTTAATTTTCAATATTAGAAGTGTGAATTGTTTGCTTTATGTCCTTAGTAAAGTTTTTATAATAAGTTAATAAAGGGTACGCACCAAAAGACCCGATATAAACACCTTAGTATATGCTTTTACGTTCAGGTATTAGGTATACTCCTTTATTTATCAATAAGTCAGAAGTTAGTCCGATAGATTTTGATCTTGATAATAGTCCTCTAGGCTTATCAAATAGTGCTTTTGAACTAGATACCGATAGAAGCAACTCGATCCATCCTGTTGAAATGGCTAACCCTGAAAGGCCACTTCGTGATCTTTTTGCTCCCTTATCTACCGGACATCCTAATTGCATCGTTTTGCCCGCACTCGAAAATGGAGCTGATTTCAAACTTCACTATGTCCTTAGTTCTCTGGTCATGAGCGAGAAGACCCTTAATGAAACTAGACTAGGCGTTTATGGTATTCGTTTACGGTTATTCCCGTTCTCTCTAAATGACAAAGCATCTCAATGGTTACATTCTTTAGCCGGAAACTCAATCCGCACTTGGGATCAATTGAACACAAAATTCCTTACTAAATTCTATCCAATGTCCCGAACAATAGAGTTAAGAAACAAGATACCAACTTTTAGACAAAAACATACGGAAGAATTTTTTGAAGCTTGGGAATGATTTGGGGAGTTACGTCCACATCATCAAATCACTATGAAAACGTTCATTCAATGCTTTTACAATGGTCTAAACCCTACGACTCGTGTCGTAGTACAATCTATGAATGAGGGTCAATTCCTTAGTAAAACCGCAACACAAGCTAATGATTTTTTTATAAGACTTGCTGAAAATTCTCAACATTGGGGAAACTCACTTAATCCTATCACTGGAGTCTACGTAGTTAAACCTACGGCTAAGATGGAACAAGACGGAGAAGTAAAAACTTTAATTCAAAATCTAGCTAAAAAAGTTAAAGCTCTCTCCTTACAAGGTAACCAACCCAATACCGTTATGAACGTTAACGAAATATGTCAAGTTTGTAATGGAAACTATCATAATGAAGATAATTTCCAACACATTCCTTACGAACAAGAACAAGTTAACGGTATTTGGGATAATAGAACTAATGCTTCACCTCAAGGTAACTCATACAATCCAACATGGGCTAATCATCCAAACTTTCGATGGGGATATCAAAACAACGCTAGACCGTTTAATCAAAACCCACTAAACTTTCAAGGAAATAACATGAATAGAAACCCTAATGGATATATGAGGCAAAACAATAACTTTCAAGGTTATTGAAATAACAATGAAGTTAATAAACCTCCGGTTCAAAATCTAGAAAAAACCGAGCAACCTAAAACAAACTATGAAGCTCTTTTAATGAAGATACTTGAACAACAAACGAATCAAAATAAAATCATTGAAAGACTTGAAAATA